GTTGGCTACATTGGAGAGTGAACTTCGCCAGAGCAACCTTACGCGAGATCGCCTCGTTCGAGACCGGGATCACCTCGATCTGCAAGTCCACCAGCTGCGATCCAACACCCGGGACATGGAAACTTTCCAACACGGCCAGCGAGACGAGATCCCTCGACTTAAGGCGGAGATCTCGACTCTCACCCACGCAATTGGTGACGATCCAGAGCATCTCCATACCCAGGTCCTTCAACTGCGCAGCGAGCGGAACGACTTTGAGCGTCAAACTATTTCCGCCCGTGAAGATCTTCACAACGCCGAGACCGATCGTGATCGTCTGCGCCTGGAAGCTATTCAAGCCGGGGACGAGATCAGGGACTTGCAGGCGCAGGTCCGCAGTCTGGAGCGTGAGACTGACGGCGAGTTCTGAACCCGCCACCGCTCTCACCAGCTATAACCGGATCTCCTCCAGCCTCACCCGTACGCCACCGGATCACGGAAGGGATCCGTATCACTCGTCTAGCCCAGGCGCACCGTGATCGCGCGTTGACAGATCTCGCGCTCACCCGGGCAACCCTGACGCAGGTCACCTCCGATCACGATCAAGCCTTCAAGCAACTTGCCGAGACCACCGAGGATCGGGATCGGGCGCTTGTCGATCGTGATTCGGCCATTCGCCTCCGTGATCAGGCGATTGCCGAACGTGATCATGTGCGCTTGGATCTTTTCACCGAGACTGCCCGCACGGCCCAGCTAGACGACGATCTCGAGGTGGTTCGCCAGGAACTTCAGGAGAGGGAGGGCCAGATGACGGATCTCCAAGTCGCCCAAATCGCCGAGTTGCGGGATCTGGCTAAGAGCGATCTAAATGAGGCCGATGTGCTTCTCACGCACCTCGCCAGCTGGATCAGAGAGAGTCAGGTGACGCGGATGCCGAAACGTGAGCGAAGTCCGCCCAGTTGTCCGCCTCAATTACCGCCTCTCAAGACGCCTCGCAGTGATCGACCAGTTTCCCCGCCGCTTAACCAGGACCAGCCCAAGATCGAGGGCCCGGAAGACCAGGATCACCAAGATCAGCCCGAGATCGAGGGTCCGGAAGACCAGGAGCACCAAGATCAGCCCGAGATCGAGGGTCCGGATGACCAGGAGCTCGAAGATAAACCTGAGATCCCAAGCGGGGGAGGGGGCAGCCCGGGTGATCACGACTCCCCTCCTCCGGATCACGGTCCTACGACACCTCCTCCCTCACCTCCAAGGTCTCCTGGCGGAAGCCCTGGTGGTGGTTCTCCGGGGGGGGGTGGCTCACCCATCCAGCTACATCCACCGTTATTTCCCGCCGAGGCAAGTATTCCTCATTATTCTGCACTCAAGCTCTTCACGGCGGCCGAGATCACTCCGTGGGACCCGACTATCGTGTGAACTGTGCCGATCATAGCTATGATCCAGTCCACTTTGACGAAATGGTTGCCGATCCCGCCCAATTTCCTGTTTCCCCACCGAGTCCCTCCGGTTCGGGCTCCCATACCCGTGACCGGTTATCGCTCGGAGTTGATCACCGGTGCCAACGTTTTGGCTCTTATGGCTACCGAGCCATGGCACACGCTTGGCTGGCGTCGTCCCACTCCATTAACTTTCGATCACAACCTTACCGACCCCTCTGTGGCGGAGGAAGACCACATGATTGCGTATTGGGAATCGACCCATTACCTCGAAATCACGAAAGTGGTGGCCGCCGCTGACTCAGATCTCTTCAGCTACCACCAGGATCGGCGTCAGCGACGGATCAAGGGCTGGAGAGAGTTGGCGGAAGCTGTTGGGGGAAGTTGTGCTAATGATGAGAGAACAGTGGGCCGACATCGACATCCTGCTGGACCCCTATTTCCTCCACCTGCCGACCAAACAGGATCGTCGCCCGCTGCCGTTGTCCCAGGATCCTGTTAAACGCCCGGAAGAAATGGGACGACATGAAGCCTGGTTCTCGATCATGCCGGATCATCTCACTGGCACCAAATCGCCGAAATACACACTCTTCGTACGATTCCGCAACCGTCTGGGCCGATCGGGACGAGCTGGCCTTTGCAATCACATACCCTGTGAAGAGATCGATCCAGATCAATAACTCTGTGTTTCCTTTGTGGGATCTGGGTAGCGACGGTATGTGATCCATCGCAATAATCTGGAACGGGTACGTCGCCTGCAAGTTCCCCGGTGATTCACCCCGGATCACCGGTTTTCCTTTTCCTGTCTCGCAATCCACATATTCCCCCACATATCGCTGAACACTTCCGGTATAATCCCCTCCAATGGAAGTGATCCCTGATCCGCTGGTAGGTCCGCCCCACTCCTTGATGTCCTCCTTCTAACGTGGCGTGATAGTGATGTAAGACGTCCGACTGCAGCGTTTCGGGAACTACCAATCTCAACAATCGATCGCGATCGTCTCCCGATCTGGGCGTCGGCGGGCAGTAAAAGAGTAGATCCTGCTCGTCTACCTCGTAGTCAGCCGCGATCTTGTCATACGATCTTGCTTCCGCTTGTGTGAGATTTGAGATCGAGCCACTCAGATATTTCTTCATGCCGGCGATCCAGACTTCTTCCTCTTGGGC